AAAAAAAAAAAAAAAAAAAAAAAAAAAAAAAAAAAAAAAAAAGTTTAAGACCTCGAATTTCAGGTTCAAGACCTCAAAAGGCTCTGTGGACCTGACCTTGGTGGTTTAATATTATAATCATTTTATCGGCTGTTCATTTTTAAGCAGGGAACACACCATAAACGTGAAGTTATCACAGTCTGGCTCTTAGGCGCCGTAGTGTCACTTGGCTCTAAGAGCATGTGTTAAAATAGCATCTGTGGAGGAAGGAGTGCAGAGATCTTCAGAGACCTTGAGTTGTTGCAAATGAGAAAGAAATGATGAAATGGGTGGAGGGGGGGCAGGAAGAGAGGATTAGTCAAATAATGAAAAGAAAGAAATGTGCGGCTATTTATATATGAAAAGGGCTGGCCCGCRGGCTGCCAAAAATGACACAAAACTGAAGCTGGGCTGCCCTTGCGCTTGGTGCCCGCAGCCACCTGCCTCACGGGGCTGCATTGGCTTTGGGTTTTAGTCCGGGGCTACCAAAACTTGAAACGACCTGAGCTTAGTGCAGTCTTCACGGAGATTCCGGAGATCTGCAGGCAAGAGGGAAGTGGGGCCAGCTGCTAACAAAAGAAATATCCACCGGCTTAAAGAGATCAGCATGCAGCTGCTCGAGGCCTCACGCTTTCCAACTGCAGACTCCCTGCAGCAGCCTTGGTTTTCTTCGTGTCTCCCTGATGAGCGGAGCTCGCTGGTGTTGGGGTCCCTGAGTCGGGCTTTACAGCTGCAGGGATGCAGTAAGTKCCCCTGCATCTTTGCAGTGCTTTACATCTATCATTCTGCTCTTTCCTGGTATTGCTTTCCTGGTTTGCTTTCCTGGTATGYGCCCAAAATGCTGCTTTGCTGCTTGGATTTCTTGTCTTCTTCRCCTTGTTCCCAGAACCTCAGCCCCTAAGTTGATTATTCAGAGCTTGGATCTTTTGCTCTTGCAGGATCCCATTAATGTAATCAGGAGTAGCGGAAATGATTTGCAAATATAACTGCTTAGCAGAACTGTCTGCTTGTTGCTGGTCTGTTGGATCAGTGAAACGCTGAGTGATTTCAGGAGAAAGGTTCCCCCTTCTAATTTTAGGGTTAGTAAAATGAGGTAGAGGTTTTAAAGTAACACAAAGGAATTTAGCCACGTGTAGGGTTTTTGATGTTGGCT